AGATAGAGTGGAGTACATCTGATGAAGTAACAGAGATCATCCTGTGCAGCCATAAAGACTACATAAAATGCAGCTTTGCAAATCTGCTGGATTCTGACATTTTGCCAAAGAAACAGACTTGGGTTCACTTCACTTTGAAAGAACTATCTCCTTTCCAGACAGTACAAAAGAACTGCATTTTATAGTGAACAATACACTTTGTCACCTTCAAATATCTAACTGCCTAACTTAATTGAAAGGTTAGCATGCATTTTCTCAGTAGCTTGGCCACAAAGACATTAATGTGGGGTGACATAAGAGGAAGCAGATACCTTCCAAACCTGAGCACACAGTTTTATTTAAACAAACTAGGCTTCTTAACAAGCACAAGACAGTAGTCAAGAAAATGAAAACAGGAAAATGTATGTTGGGTTTTGCTTCTATAACTTGTTGTAGCTAAGTAGAATGTGTGGCTGCAGAAGGTCTGCTACGAAAGGCAGTAGACTGAGTCAGGCATCTTCCCTCTTGGCATAGTATGCAGTGTGGGATACAAAGAGAATATTCCAAACTGAAGGGCCTTAACAAAGAATTGGCTTTATTATCAACCAACAGCAACTGGCAGCTGCTCCCTCCTCCTCCTCCTCCTCCTCCTCCTCCTCCTGGCTGCTTGCTGTTTCCAGGGTGAAGACAAGGAAGAGCAGCCAGCAGGCTCGGTATGCTACTGCTGCTACTGCCATCTTCGGCCAAGAGGGGTGCAGGCAGCATCGCTTCAGTGCTTGGTGGGAATGGGAGGCAGGCTGAGGTGGCAGTGGCTCCTGCCCGGGGTGGGGCACTGCATATCCGATAGGGGGTGCCACCCTCAGTGCCCCATTGCTGTCTACGGGCCTATTGCCAAGTGACCAAGGAATATGGGTGGGTGGGGGAGAATGGGGAAGAAGGACTTTCTAAAGGACCCTAATGAATCATATTAATTATTGATAAAATGGGGGTAACTTATTTTTCAGCCATTCTAAACATAGCAGTGTACCATGAGCAATTATATTAGATTTCCACTTCTATAACTTTCTTTCCTGATTCTTCTTCATCTCACCACCTCTTTCAGCCCTATATGTTCACATCTATTAGTACTTTGTGAAGTCTCTTCTTTTACTAGCATCTTTCAATCAATCCTTTCTGGGGGTATGTCTTACTTTCCCCTTCCTTATAGTGGTTTAAAATAACACAAGACTTTGTCCAGTCTTTGCAGCGTATGGTTCTGCTCTCTGTGTGGCCACCAGTGATAGATAAATTAATTAGGTGGTTATGGGAGCAACACTTTTATAACTGGTTTCGATCACGCATTTCAGGTCTCTACACTCATGTCAGAGGAAATTATGAGGAAGTACATCCCTCTGTTTAAAACCAGTGGGGCATATAAATACTCGAGACTGGATGAACTGTGCCCCTTTTCTGGAAAAAAAAATCTGAGAAACTTCTACTGAAAAGCAAACGTGGTTTGGTTTTTAGCTTTTAATCACAGCAACTCAGTATGCTTTTGACTACTTCTTGGGGAAATAAAGTTTTTGATCATGAAACTAAACAGATTGCATACCCACTGTACAACATCAGTAAGAAGAAATCATAATGCAAAGAGAAAAAGAAATACAACTGGGAAAGCAATTGCAACACATGGCGCTGCCTTCACACATCTGGAATGAAAAGTCTTGTGGCCAAACCTCCCAGGTAATGTTATTCTCTATTTTCAGCCTCATTCTAAAACATTTACATATCTCCTTTCCTGCATAGACATACACTCCTCTTCTTCTTTTTTATTACTCTCAGATTATGAAACCTACCAAAAATAACAGATTCTCCAAGCTTTAAGCCATATGGTGTTGAAAATATGATAATCATATACTGGGACAGCCTTCCATTTATATTTAAATATATTGGGTAGAGTACTAGAGTTCTAGAAGTAATGCCTAACAACCAGATAAGCTCCTTGCTATATTAAAATTAATATCAATAACTGTTTAACCTCTCAATAACACAAGCCTGATCATATCTGTGCTTGGAAAGTGAAAAGTACTGGGTTCGCCGCATGGAGGACTCGGACAACGACATGCTGTAGCACACGTTTATTTTACTTCACATAGACAAAGACTGACTCTAACGGCCAGCAGGGCCAACTATATTCATATCCACCAGCAACACCCCCCACTCCCATTGGAGGGTTTAAATGTCCCACCAAGGTGGCTATTCGTTGGGGCTGGGGAATCCAGGATCCAAAGTCTCCTTTGTTTTCGGATCCAAGCTCTGGCCTGTCCACGGACCCCTGGAGGCGGTCCACGTACATAACAGAAAGTTACTCCATGTGAATTATCACACAAACACACAAACAAGTGGGGGGCTTCTGGGCTCTGCCACTGCCACGGCTGGGCTCCCAGTGGCTCACAGGCTCTGCCACAGCTGGGCTCAGAGTGGCTCCTGGGCTCCACTGTGGCCATGGCCAGGCCTGCCAGCAGCTCCCCCCCTCCAACACCTCCATGGCCAGGCTACGAGCGACTCCCAGGCTCCACTGCAGCAGCGGGGCTGGGAGTGATTTCAGGGCTCCACCAAAGCCATGGCTTTGCCTGCTGGCAGCTCCCAGGCTCCACTGCCACCAAAGCTGGGCCTGCCAGCAGCTCCTGGGCTACACTGCTGTGGCTGGGCCCATCGGTGGCTTCCAGGCTCTGTTGCTGTCACAGCCACTGCCACTGTAACAACAAGCACTGGGCCCCTCTCCAGCTGCTCAATGACAAGTGGGTTGTCTGTGCATGCGCAGACAACACTTTATTTAATTTGGGGGGATTTAAACCCTCAAATGATTTTTTTTAAACTTTTCATATTTTTCTGAAAACCTAGAGGATCCCCCAAGTTTGCGGGAAAAAACTGTTTGGGGTAATTATGGCCCCGATCCACAGGTTTAGCTATCTGCAGATGGGGGCCAGTCTTGGGAAATACATACATAGATACATCCCAAAAGGATGAATGAGCTAGCACTATGTTGGTTCTTTTTTGTTGTTTTGTTTTGGGGGGAAATGTTTTGCTTCCCCCCCCTTTCATTTCCTCCCCTAAAGCACTGTGGAAGAAGGAATGTTCATATCTCCTTTGTGAATCAAAGGGCCTTGAAAGGATTCCTCCTTTACTGTGTTCTACCCAGGGGTCATTTCCTGCAGGAGCGCACATAAGCGGAGCTCCAGCAGTAAAGAGCCCAGGGGGCGGGCACATACAACACAGGCCCCACCCCCTGCTCCCAGCAGCCCTCAGTCAGAGCAAGAATCAGCCAAGTAAGTTGCAGAGATCCCCCCAGCCCCCCAGTCCAAAACAGTCCAGTGGCACCTTTAAGACCAGGTTTTATTCAGGTACAAGCTCTCCCTCCTCTGTGAGGACAGACCTGCACGTTCCCCCCCCTTTTTGTTGTTTTGTTTTTGGGGAAAATGTTTTGCTTTCCCCCCCCTTTCATTTCCTCCCTTAAAGCACTGTGGAAGAAGGAATGTTCATTTCTCCTTTGTGAATCAAAGGGCCTTGAAAGGATTCCTCCTTTACTGTGTTCTACCCAGGGGTCATTTCCTGCAGGAGCGCACATAAGCGGAGCTCCAGCAGTAAAGAGCCCAGGGGGCGGGCACATACAACACAGGCCCCACCCCCTGCTCCCAGCAGCCCTCAGTCAGAGCAAGAATCAGCCAAGTAAGTTGCAGAGATCCCCCCAGCCCCCCAGTCCAAAACAGTCCAGTGGCACCTTTAAGACCAGGTTTTATTCAGGTACAAGCTCTCCCTCCTCTGTGAGGACAGACCTGCACGTGTTGCAGAGCTCCCCCTGGCCCAAAACAGTCCAGTGGCACCTTTAAGACCAAGTTTTATTCAGGTACAAGCTCTCCCTCCTCTGCGAGGACATATCTGCACATCCCCCCCCCCAATAGCTAGTAATCCGAAACAGCCCAGTGGAGCCTGAGTGGTGGGTGTCGCCTTCTGACACACTTCCGGTGATGTCAGGGGGTGTGGTGTAAGCAAATGAGTTATGCTAACGAGCTCCTGCACCTCTTTTTCTACGAAATGACCCCTGGCTCTACCAATAGATACTATTGCAAACTGAGCCTTCCTCCCCACCCAGAATGAATGCTGCATACCAGTCTTCTCTTTTCTCTTTTTTTTAAAGAAATAAACCCACCAAACATTTTCATTTGAACAATATGTGACATTAATCTGGATTTAACAAGGACAACTTTGTTTTAGTCTTTATTTACACACAGAAACATGCAAGTTCCTCCTCTCTTCAGCTGGGAGGAGTCACATTTTCTAAGTTCATCACACTTAATAGAACCATCAGGTGAGGATTAGATCTAGAAATTAGTGCCCATTGCCAATGAACCATTAACCTAAGAAAGGTATGGTCAGCCAACATCAATGCTATCACAGTTCACAATGTGCCACTTGGTAAGTGCCCTTCTGTGAATACATTTATTACACAGAGGTCCATAAAGACACTCTATGTCACGAAACAAAGAAGAAATTGGTGAAATAACATAAGATCATATATACGCAAATCAATAACAAAAAATAGGAAAATAAGATTGGGGGGGGAAACTAGTCAGAACAACAATCCTACAGAAATATGTTAGAATTACTATAGACATATACTGTCACTCCAACATTGACAAGCTGTAAAACATGTCTGTGCTGTTTTTGGTATTGTGTTACAAAAAGAAATCATTCAAAATACCATGGTTCGAGGGGAAATCAACTTAAGTATTCCTTTTGCATCTCAGCAATTGTGACAAGATTTTAAGAACAACTTCTGTTCAGCATAGCAAAGATGCAAAAGATTTTCCCCCCACTCAGTTACTGAGAGTGAGATATAAAAATACTTGGCTGATCAGATGCCCCACATGAACTACTTACAAGAATCCAAAGACTAGACAGAGGGTGCAAAATGAAATTGGATAATGACGAAATTCAGGAAACCAATGTTTTAGAATATAAAGTCACATGTGCATTCTTACCTCTTGACTGCAAACCACGACCACATGGCTCGTTGACTCCTAGTATACCCTGTCTTATGGAATCTGGCACCAGTACACACTGACTCCATTTATGGGTCTTCCAGCTGGAATAGTAAGAAGAAAAGTTACAACGCTATGATATGATCTTTAAACATAATCTTTTAAAATGAAACAGAGTATTCATCCTAATTGTCACTATTTTTCAGATGCAATTTGTCCAATCAAATGTCAGCATTCCATTCACAACACTACAATGGCTCTCTACATACTGTAGCCATGCTATATCAAAACATTGACAAGAAATGTTAAGGGGATGTGGAGAATGTACAAGGGAAATGGAATTGATACAGATTGGTTGAAATTAATATATTGTGCTTAACTGGTTGTAATTTGATCAATATTTTAGTTTATCTAGCAATGCAGCTGTGAACAGTGAACTTTTGTTAAATACCTTCCCATCAATATAGAAGCAGCTTAGCAATTTTATTCTTTCGATTTATTTATTTAGGCAAAAACTCACAGACTACTGATGCTAGTGCAACACCATTTATCTGCACTCTACTATAACATTTGTTACAATAAAGCTGTAGAATGTGTACAATACTACAGCTTTAGTTTTTAAAGTGTTGTGCCCTGTTTGAGGATAGGGTTGGACACGATCAATTAAACTTCAAAGAAGGATCTGAGAATCACATATTAAAAGTAACATGCCTGGAAAGCTCTTTCTAAACATGCAGGATGCATAGTTTAGCTGGCTCAACGGGTACGCCAAGTTATCAGTTTAAATTCTGAATTCTTATTTTCCTTAATTACGTATGATATATACCATTTACTTGTGTTGCATTACATTTACTAACAGAGAGATGTTCCTGCAGTAGAGAAATGCATTTAACGTTTGCAATCAACTGACAGCCTGATCTTACAGTTCTTTTACTGGTACAGTGCACATATGACAACAGCTACACCAAACGTTTATGCTTGTCAAGAATCAGTGATTTAGTGCTTTGTCTTACTTCCTTGCAACACAGAATCATGGCGTTGGAAGGGGCCATACAGGCCGTCTAGCTCAGTGCAGGTTCAGCCTAAAACATCCCTGACAAGTGTTTGTCCAGACACTGCTTGAAGACTGCCAGTGACAGGGAGCTCACCACTTCCCTAGGCAGCCAATTCCACTGCTGAACTACTCTTACTGTTAAATTTTTTTAAAATCCCTAATATCCAGCTGGCTCCTTTCTGTCCATAATTTAAACCCATTATTGTAAGTCCTATCCTCCGTTGCCAACAGGAACAGCACCCTGCCCTTCTCTAAGTGACAACCCTTCAAATACTAAAAGAGAGTAATCATGCCCCCTCCTCCTCTCCAGACTGAGAAACATAGAAACACTCATGTGCTTTCCAGCCCTGGGACTCGTACAACATATGAATGCTAGGATAAAGCCTTGCCCTACCCTTACGCTTTGTCTTATAAACTCCACATCACAACTCTGTTGTGCAGAGAAGAGAACCAGCTCTAGCACAGCAGCACTGAGGCAATGATCTTCGACCTTTCGAGACTCAGGGTCTTCTTTAAACTCCCATAAAACTGCAAGTGTGGAACGTGACATTGGAATTATATGACGTGAAGAAGGGAAGCCAAAGTTAAGCTCTCTCCAGTGTCCAGGTCATGAATGTGAGCAGCTGACTAAGAGATCTAGGGACAGGAAAACAAGCTGAATTAGGCTTGCCAAGTCCCCCCGGGGGGCGGGAAAACCCCCACCCCAGAGGCCCGTTCCCCACCGCCGGCGGATCGGGCCCCGGGGGGAACCCCACCCCGACGTGCGTGTCACCAGGAAGTGATGTTAAAACACCGGGCACTCTATGGTTTTCCCTCCGATGGTCATAGCCCCACCCCCAGCATGCCCAGCATCCTAAAATCACTTCCTGGTGCGCTCCAGTTGCCGCCCGGGAGTCCCCCGCTGCGGCTGAGAAACGACTTGGCAACCCTAAGCTGAATACCAGGAAGTATACCACAATGAGGAACAAGCCTAGGATAAGAGCTATGTTGGAATCCTTTCTATTGATGAATAGGAATAACTTGCTGTCCTGCTGCTCCATGTTAACACAGGAAGGAAGGATGTGAGACATCTTGGTTATTTATGCACGTGTGCTAACAGCAGGGTTTTTCCAAAAAGCAACAACAAAAAAGAGGAAAGAAATGGGTGGCTGTTCAGGGGCTTGCAACCAAGCAGGTGAGGCTCTGCAACACACCTAAGCGCCCCAACCACTAAGAGATATTGGGTAGCACCAGCATTTTAATAGCTGTTGGGTCACAGTGCTGATGGAACACAAGAAGAGCCCTGCTGGATCAGAACAATGGTCCATCTAGTCCAGTATTCTGTCTCACATGGTGGCCAACCAGTTCCTCTGGATGGCCAACAACACAGGATATAGAGGCTGAGACCTTCCCCTGATGTTGCCTTCTGGCTCTGGGATTCAGAGGGTTAGTGCCTCTGAATGTGGAGGTTCCCCTCAGTCACCATGGCTAGTAGCCACTGATAGACTTATCCTCCATGAATCTGTCTAATCCCCTTTTAAAACTGTTTATTCCTGTGGCCGTCACTACATCCTCTGGCAGCAAATTCCATATTTTAATCACTCTCTGGGTAAAGTAGTATTTCCTTTTGTCCATCCTGAACCAACTACCCATCAGCTGCATTGGATGCCCTTGAGTTCTAGTATTTTGAGACAGGGGGGGAAATATCTTTGTCAACTCTTTCTACTCCATGCATAATTTTATAAACCTCTATCATGTCCCTCCTTAGTCATCTACTTTCTAAACCAAAGAATCCCAGACTCTTCAGCCTTTCCCCATAAGGAAGGTGCTCCAACCCTCTACTCATCTTAGTTGCCCTCCGCTGTATTTTTTCCATCTCTGCAATGTCCTTTTGGAGATTCGGTGACCACAACTGTACACAGTATCTGAAAGGAAGCTGCACAATAGATCAATACAGGCTAATTACAGTATTGGCCATTTTATTCTCAATCCTGTTCCTAATCTATATATCTAATACCCAAGTCGCCCCATCTGTGCGGATTGCTAAATCCGCGCCCCGGGGCGACCTGGGGGGCAGGGAGAGTTTTGTGCACTCTTGGGGCAGTCCCCAGGGGTGCACAAAAATCTAAAAACTAAAAAAAATATCGGGGGGGATATTTAAATCCCCCCGAAAGTGTCAGAGCGTTCCGTGCGTATGCGCACGGAATGCTCTGCGGAGTCCCTCGCACGTCCCACGGGAGCGGGAGGGGGGCAGCCAAGCGCAATGGCTCTCGCGCCGCCCCTTCAGGCCTCCGAGGGTCTGTTCTTGGGGGGGGGAGACAGAGAACGGGGGAAAGACAGAAACGGGAGGGAAGAGAGAGAAGGGGGGAGAGAGAGACAGAGAGAGAGAGACTGGGGGGGAGAGAGAAGGGGGGGAGAGAGACTCCCCCCCGCGAGTATCGCGGGTCCCCCTTGTCATCCCTAACATAGAGTTTTTCACTGCTGCAGCACACGGCACAACATCACCACCATCCCATCCCTCCCTGGGTGGAAGACCGAGAAATCTCATTGTGTTGATAACATCACCTTATAGCCAATCTTATGAACCACAGTGATCCACAGGAACAACATTTCAAAGGGCTCAATGGGCTGCAGTGGGAGCAGGAAATTAGCAAAGGTCGCTCCCCCCATCTTGATATGTAAGCTTTCTAACTGTGTGGCTGTATACAGACTAGAGTACTGCAAACCTGACACTTAGAGATCTCGTTCTTTTGATTATTTAAATTATAATAATAATAATCTTTATTGCATTAGCAAGAAAGCCATAGCAACTGTACAGGATAAAAAAACCCAAAAAACCACACACTTAACATTATCAAATTTGTATATATTATTTAAATTACCTGTACACAGGACAAACAGGGATGTCTTCACATTCTCTTTCTTCAAACAAGGTGTCTGGGCATTCGTTCCTGTCCTCCATTGACAGCATCTTGAATGATAATCCTGTAGCGAGACTGTTTCGTTGTAGTAGAATTACCTGATTTTTAAAAGATGTAGTAGAATGTATTTCTACAAGGGACAGTTAATTCCATGCATTAGGCATCTTGCCTCTTACAGAAGAAGCCACTAACTTGATAAAACCAAAGTCAAGACCTAGTAAAACATACAGTGTATCTGGAATCTTCATGGTTAACACATGGGTATGATTTTTAAAAATGATGTAGATATTCACTTAAAAAAAATTCCATGTGGATATTCAGGGGGAATTGACAGGATTCCATTCTTTGTGCATGTTGGTAGGTGGATGGTGCAGCACAGGAAGCAACCCAAAAGACTAGTGAGGCAGGAACTCTTTGCAGAAGCCATGCTGTTTTTTTCCCTGAGCAATCCATGTGCTTAATAATTCTGTTATCTTTAGTAACAGTTTCTACTAATTTATTTGGAAAAGAAGTTAGGCAAAAGGGCATGCAATTTCCTGGATCCCTTCCAGACCCTTATTTAAAAATGGAGATAATGTTTGCTACTTTGCAGTGCACCGGTTTGGAGGGCAGTTTTAGAGACAAGTTACACAAACTGGTTAGAAGATCAACTTCACTTCTGAGTTCCTTAACCTTCCAGGTGCATGGCATCCAGATAGTTATTGGCTTTCAATGTGTCCATCTCTTAAGACCTTTATCATGTCACCAACAATATATTCCAATATTGCATTATTTCTCCACCAGCAGAAACAAAAACTGAACATTAAATTCTGTTTCAATATCTCTGTGTTGCTTTTCTCCCCAAAGCAGCTCACAACAAATAAGCACACAGCTCCAAACAAAACAACAGTTAACAGATATTCCTAAATTTTCCTTTACTGTAAAACATAATCTTCATTTGAAAGAACTAACGATTAACCAGCTTATATTTTTCTGATCAACAAACGACAGCATCTGCTTTTCAACCCAAATTTAGACAACTGACATTGATGCACTTATTGGGGGGGGGGCGCAATCATATTTACTCCAGAGGCCTTTCGTGTGTGTGTGTGTGTGTGTGTGTGTGTGTGTGTGTGTGTGTGTGAGAGAGAGAGAGAGAGAGAGAGAGAGAGAATATTCCACTTGTGGAAGTGAGAGGAAGGGTAATTTTGCATGATTCTTTCCTCACTGTAGCCTCCTGATCTGCAAGGCTTCTTATCAGTACATTCCCATGACTTAATCTTTCCAAGAATCAAATGAGACTGCCAGTGGAAGGAGACTCTGGGAAAACCCGCATCTGTAGCACCTTCCACTAGCAGCTCGTCAGGCACAACCCATTGCTTCCACGTTCAAATGTCTGCTGAATTTTGAATTATAATTGATTGCACAAATCAATTCCTGTTGTTCAGTTAAAAATGTTGGTGAATTCTATCTCATTCTCTGTTATTTATATTTCTACACTTGCCCTAGTTTTCAGAGTTTTCAGTAATGTATAACATGCAAATTTCAGTGACTAACAATGCAGCACTAGTCCTAAACCCATTGACTCCTTTTAGGATTGCACTGTCTGTATTTCAAAATCAAACTAAGTATTCTTTCTTAGTAACATCAAGAACAAATACCGTAATACCTTTAATAGGTAAGATGGAAGGGTATCAAAAATATGGAGCATTCGCTACATTTTCCTTTAGATTTTTGTTTTAAATTTATGTTTTCCATTATCATGTTATTTCTTTAAGTTCAGTGTCATTTGCACATACTGAAGGTGTATGATAATGCTTTGCTAGGAAGCTTGACTGATGACATTTAACTGAAGGGCAAGCAATAGGTGGGAAAGCTGGATGTAGATTTTCCAGCTCATTTAAAAGTATTTTATCTGACAAAATATATTTGTTTCCATGCCAATGTCTAATTAACTTTTTCTCCCACTGGCTATTTGCTTAAATCCTATTATGCTGGTGCAGATTTAATTTTAAATCAGGCATGTAATACTTGTTCTTCTTTATCTGAAGCTTAAGCAGTCCTCTACTTACCGTTGTTATTATATAAACTCTTTGTGCGTGTATATCACAGTGTTGTCTAAACTTCCAAGTGTGCTGCATTTTTAATTGTACAGCACAAATTAAAGAACCTGCACTCAAGCCATATCAATAACAAATCCAGTGAGCACCAAAATCCCCACAACTCACTTTTAATTTAGAGTCATATTAAAATAATAATGCTGCCAAGGAAGTTAAATAATTAATTCAGAGTGTTTTTTTAATGTACAGGATTATCCAATAAACAAAGCAATTTACTAGTTAATTTATTCCACTTATTCAGACATTGTTCATTGAAAGTATGCAAAATAGACATCTAATTAAAATACTATTCATTGTTTTAAAAATAACCTAGGAAATCTACCAGGAACTGAGTGACGGGACAGAAAATATGAGAGCAAAGATATGAACAAATATAACTTTTGCACAGAGAGTTAATTGGATATAGAATTTGCCATTATAAATATCAGTGGAGCACGCTGCATAAAGCACATGTAAGAACTATACTGGGGGAAAGCTTATCTAGTAAGAAACTGCATTTTAATTACAATGGTATAGCTGTTATCTTTTATTTTTGAAGGAAAATATAATTCTCTTGAGGGCTCACTGATTTTTCCAAAACACTGATGAAAACATGACACCCATTTCCCCCCAGTTCCTAAAACCAGCCTTCGTTTCACTACTTTATGCAAACTACTTTTTCTAGGAGAGGATAAGTCTAAGAGAATGATCCTTCCTGGGTAGCTAGCATTTTATTTGATATTCAGCACCATCACACTCTACACCCCTTCCTACAGAATCACTGAGTATTTTGAAAGACTGGGCAATGAATAGTTTTCATTTTCAAAAAATGAAGTAGTGAGAACGACTTCACACCACAACTAATTTAAATGATATTATTTGGATTTGTTTGGATATATTAACCATACCTTTCTCAAAATATGATTTGACCAAACAGCTCAGCTTAGATAATGTTAAACTGACCCAATTTACAGCCAGCTTAAAAACCAGTTTTTAAACTTGACCTATGGTAACATGCAATTGAGCTATCTAAATCCAGACCTTTAATGTGAGACCAGGCATTAGTGTGTGCTGTCTGGTGGATCTCATGAGAATTTCCAGGCTTCCTGCTGGATAGTGAACATGGAGAAGCTGTGTTTGTGCTGTCTACACGAATGCTATGGGTTGTGTTATTGCAGCAGGCCATTGCATAAGGGAGACTGCAACACACATGTAAGTAGTTAACAGATGGAGACACTAGTTCAGCTGCATTTCTGTGTCAATGCTGGATTATTAGGAGCCCAGCAGAAGCTGTTCATGCTCTTGAGGAGCTCATGCTGGGACCTCTGGCTAGTTTGAACCAGTTAGTCAAAGCAAAGTCAAATTTGCCATCCAGGTATTGAGACTGCATTATGAATCCCCGGTTTAAAAGGAGTAAGCAAAAATGAGATCAACAGTAGGTGCATCGGCAGTAGTAGTAACAGATGGTGTTATGACGTGAACATGAAAATGCTTTGGAATCAGAGCTTCAAATAAAATTTGAAAGCTTTTTTGAGATTGTTCTTCTATAATACAAGAATCCATAGATCACTGCATCCATGGCACTCAGGTGAGCCACAGGAAACTTTTAAACTATGGCAACAGGTTGCATGTTAACAGTACAATCCTAAGGACACTTGAGAATAAGCCCCACTGAATAGCCCTGATAAGATTTTGAACAGACCACCAGTTTTGTTGAAGGGCTGCAGTGGCTCAAAGGTTAAGACGCTGAGCTGCCGACTGGAAGATCTGTAGCTCGGCAGTTCGAGACCTGAGTGCCACGTGACGGAGTGAGCTCCCGTTTCTGGCCCTAGCTCCTGCCAACCTAGCAGTTCGAAAGCAAGGAATTGCAGGTAGGTACCACTTTGGGGGGAAGGTAACAGTGTTCTGTGTGCCTCAGCATTTAGTCATGCCAGCCACATGACCACAGAAATGTCTTCGGACAGCGTTGGCTCTTCAGCTTGAAAATGGAGATGTGCACCGCCCCCTAGAGTCATATTCGACTGGCTTTCGAGCAAGGGAAACCTTTACCTATACCAGTTTTGTTAATAATTTGTATTTAAGGTTTTATCCGATAGGAAATGCACAGGTTAGAACTTAAGCAAAGAAAATCCTGGAATTGCAGTCTCCACGACTTGTGAGCTTGCCACTCCATTTCCTTTTGGCACCGTGCCCATTCTTAGATTGTGAATGTGCAAGTAGACCCTTATGTTCTTAACTCATTTTGTAGAGCACTTAAAAGCTACATGCTTACAAATTAATGATCTTGTAATATTAAGAGATTAGGTGGTGATTTGGAAGTTATGGCAAGCAGTGAGTGCAGACCCATGTAGTTCTTCCCAGCATGCACTACTTCGTAGTAGCAATACAAGTCAACATCAGTGTAATGAAAGTTGATCCACAGGATCAAAATGTCTGACTGGAAAATCCATAAAGTCCGACATACTTGATACTAAATATTAAAAGTACAACCATTTATGATTGGTGCTGATATCAAAGCTGGCTGAGCAGATTTACGACTGAAGGTGGGAAAGGAATAGGGTATTTTCAGGTATCATCTACTCCCTTTTACAGACGCTTACCGTGTTGGCAAACAGTAGGACAGCTTGTCCATTCACTGAAAGGAGTCACCACACAATCTTTTTTGCACAGGAGCAGACATGGGCGGACTATTTCTGGTCTGATGGATTCTGGGCACCTATCAACACAATTGGAAATGTAACACATGAGAGTCCCTAAAAGGAACAAAAATTATTTAGGAAAAAAAATGTTCAAATAAATAACAACATGAAGCTCCCTATGAAAGAGATCTACATTTACTGTTTAACTTATTTTCATTTTTTAAAAGTAACAATTATATGAACAAGTCTTGGGTGCATGAAATACCATTAAACCAGGGCTCATAAATTGTACTTGCCTGGGCGCATGTCACCTACACTGGCCAGTGAGAGCGGGAGAGCAAGTAAAAATGCAGGAAGCTACTAACTTTATGAATATTGCAAAGCTGATGACGTTCTTTTGTTTACTAGCAAGGTTGATTAAATTATTATATCGGCATCTTAAATATTTTGTTATTTTTCTAATGCATGTCACTGTATTTATTTATTTATTTATTTATTTATTTATTCAAATTTCTATTCTGCCCTCCCTGCAAACTGGCTCAGGGCAGATTACAGACAATAGTTGAGCCATTTGGCTGCACAATACAATAAGAATAAAGAAGCAGTTAAAACATTAAAACAGCATTTAAAACAGACTGCATGAAAGCTGGTGCCACCGGACTGTATGACTGGATTGGTCACAGAATTGTTAGTGTCATTTATTTTCTTGTAAATGTAAAGTAAGCAAGACACATTTACCATCAACTAATGACATGGTTTATGATGTATTGTCGAAACATTGTCAAAACACATCACATTTATTTTTTAAAAATCTGCTTTTCATTATTATTCATTAAGTAGTAGTGTTCCTATTTTGTTTCTACTGTCTGTCCCCCAGGCACTCCAAGACAGATCAACCAGAAAATTGGCATATCCTTTAGTATGGAATGATAGAACACACTAAACAGAAATAATCATTTATTAAAGGAGTTTTACAGTGCAATCCTAAGCAGGGTTACACACTTCAGTGGCAGCACCAACATAGCTGTTCAAGAACTGCATGTTTTGCTTGAAGAACATGGCCTTGGGCCTTCTTGCCACGCATTACAGAGAACATAGGTTGGGTCTGGGCCCCTCCCTGTATTAGATGTAACATATGAGTTGTGAGTTCTCAGTTCCTGAACATGCAGGACCCAATTAGGATCAGGAGCACCAAGTATGTAACGTAGGGTTGCCAGCGGGGTGCCCTCAAAACAGTGGGAGCTTTTGGGGGCAGAACCCTAGAAAAAGCAGCATTATAGGTGATGTGACATCACACAGAGAAAACCTGGAAGTGATGTCACAGCCACCCCAGGACAGTCAAGAAATCCCCCAAATTTCTACCAAATCTTAGACTATATTATGAAGCGGTCTGCCTAACCTGGATAGATAAATGGGTGAAACTTGAAGATGAGAAATTGTTGGGGTTAGAGGGACATGACTGTAGATTTGGTTGGCATGCATATATGTGGTATGACAAGATAAAAATGGATAGTTTTTTTAAACTTCACTTGGTGAGGAAAGCTTTATATATGGTATGGACGAGATATAAGAAATACCAAAGTGATGAAAGACCATTGTGGATTGTACCAGTAGAGGTGTTGACATCTTACTCAAGGCAACGAGGTAGAGACTGGTTGCCGTACAGAGACTTAATTAAAAAGGAGGGAACAGAATGGGTAATGAAAAAGCAGAATGATATTGACTATGACTATGAATGGTTGAAATATATGCAGATTTATGATCTTTTTAGATCAGACAAAAAAAACTATGGTTTTAGAGAGGAAAAAAATGAAATTGAAAAGGTTTGGGAGAGTGGAGGAGGAAAAAATATTTCTAAAATGTATAAGGTGTTGTTAAAATGGTATACTGAAGATGAAACTGTTAAAGAACAAATGTTAAAATAGGCTATTAATATGAATAAGGAAGTGGTTATGGAAACTTGGGAATATTTGTGGAAAAACTCTATTAAGATCTCGACATGTACTAATGTTAAAGAAAATTGTTATAAGATGATGTATAGGTGGTACATGACACCTAAGAAGATTGCAAATATGAATCAAAATATGTCAAACAAATGCTGGAAATGTAAGAGGCATGAGGGCTCATTTTATCATATGTGGTGGACTTGTGAGAAAGCTGTAGACTTTTGGACAAAAGTCCACAATGAAATGCAAAAAATACTGAAATGTTCTTTTAAAAAAGCACCGGAAATTCTGCTTTTGGGACTCAAAATGGAAGAAGTCAATACGACTAAAAAAACTTTACTCTGGTACCTGATAGTGACAGCGAGAATGATTTATGCTCAGTTTTGGAAGACAGAAAAGGTACCAGAGGTTGAAGAATGGATACAAAAAGTTCTGTTCATGGCACAAATGGATAAGATTACAAAAAAACTGAATAACAAAGAAGACGATGAGTTTTTTGGAGAATGGAATGACTTTAAAATTTATCTGGAAAAGAACTGGGATGTGAAACAAAACTTAATATGTTTAGATCAATATTAAGTCAAATGATGTTATCTTTAGACTGTAATGATGAGAAACTGATAATGTTGATGATATGAAGTAATTGGAGCAGGGGTGGAAGCATTGCGGGAAGCCATTGGAGGGAGGGGAGGAACTGGGAATGGGGTAGACAATTGATAGAATGAAATGTTTTATATGTTGTATTCCTGAGAAAATAAAAAAATTTGTTTACCAAAAAAAAGAAAAGAAAAAAAAAGAAATTCCCCAAATTTCAATAGTAAAGGCTATAGAGATTTGAGGAATTCCTAGAACACTGCAGGGTGGTTGTGGCATCACTTCCAGATTTTCACCAGAAGAGGTACCATGATACATACAGTGTTGTTCTGTCCTCTGTTTTGTTTCCACTGCCCAAAGAAAAACAGCAGGAGGGTGGCCGCAAAAGTGGAAGAATGCCTGTTACCACTGGGTAAAGCAGCAACCCTAGTGTAAAGAAGGGGTTAGGGTTTGTATCAGCATTCTTCCACTGATGGGGGCCTCTGGGGCCAGCAAGAGAAACAAAGGGAGATGAAAATGGTGCCACACAAAATGTCAATGTCACATTCAGGCAAAACCCCAGGTGCAACATCAGAGGTCAAATAATGCCTTAGAAACTGGAAACCCTATTGGCTGATGTGCTAATGATGCATCCAAGTTTTTGTCCAGATGTGATGTTTGTATGTAGTGTAGTCTCACATCTGCCCCTTGACCCAACTCCAAAGCTCCCAATAGAGCCAGGCAGTGGACTGACATCCCCACTGCTGCAATATTTTCCCAGCCTGAAATATTCCCAGGGGTTGTTATTTGGCATGTTGGAGAAATCCATGTGTATCCCATGGAATTATAGGGCTCTTTTTGTAGCAGGAACTCCTTTGCATATTAGGTGACACACCCCTAGTGTAGCCAATCTTCCAAGAGCTTACAGTAGCCTCCGTAAAAAGAGCTCTGTAAGCTCTTGAAGGATTGGCTACATTAGGGGTGTGTCGCCTAATATGCAAAGGAGTTCCTGCTACAAAAAGAGCTAAACAGTGCCCTCCGGGACTGTTTCAGGATGAAATGGCACAAGGGGGAAGGTTGAAGCCCCTTCTTTATTTGTGTTGTAGTTCTGATCCTAATCAGGCACTGTATATTTGGGAATTGAGAAGGACCAGTAACTCCTGTGCAGTTGGGAACCAGTAACTCATGATGCAAGGCGGGGACCCAGTCCTCTTTTATTTAAAAGTCCTGACATATTCTGCTGCAAGAATACTTTCATTCGTGCTTTCTGCTGTACCCCCCCACCCCTTGTGAGCTCATCTTTTACCAGATCCCTGCAGCCTAATAATCTCTGACTGCTAGCTTTAAACCTTTATTTCCAGTCTCTCAATTTACAATATAGCTATGCAAATAAAATTCAAATGTCACCAGTTCCTAATTTGAATTATGTGAAGGAGGGAAAAGGGGCAAGCTGTCTATGATGAATGACATCAGCTGTTCTATGATGGGACAGTAAGAAAGAATTAGCTTTTCAAAGTCTTAATTTCCATGTAGATAGATTGCTGAAGAAACACCCACTACGAAAAAAAAACATCCCACCAATCAGCACCTTAATCACTGAGCCTTTAAAATATAGTAGGACCCCAGTATCAGTGAAATACCACACCGGCCTCTTCAGTAGATATTCATGTAAAATATAGAATATCGTCCAACAAAAAAGTTTTTAAAATCAATCCAAATGAAAGAGAAATGTAACCTTTTAATAAATTCATATATTGTACTTGGAAGAATTCTCAGTGTATAATGCGTTTTTTGGTTTCCATTATCTCTTTGGAATGTAAACCTATAGAAATGTATTTCTAGGTTCTATTCATTTTTCTACCCACTTGGAAGTCCGTAAAATAGAAAATGAATTTAGCTCTCACCTCCTTCAAAGTAATAGGAAGGAAAATCCCCATTTCATAAATTCAGTGCAGTAACACAAATTGAATATTTATGCAGATACGTAAATCTTATTTTTGAAGTTACCCTGCGGTTAAGCATTGCCATGGCAGCTTTTAAGGAAGGACTGGATGTTTAAATTTTCATAACTAGTCAAATGTGATATAATAAGCTGGTCCAGTCACAAACCATTATTCTGCTCATTATTGTAATTAATTTCTAGCAATCCCTATTCGCATACCGTAGGCCTCAAGCAGCATAAGTTCTGCATGGGTTAAGAAGGATCAAGAACTGAGAGCTTACAGAAAGCTGAAGGGCTAAGTGCATTATCCTGCAAAGTCCATCTTCAGCATGCAAACTCAGCAACAAACACGTTCAAGAATCAGTGCTTTCTGAATCAGTTTCTGCTGTATGATCCCTAATAAAATATGGCATTTGTTTGCATATATACAGGGGTCATTTCGTAGAAAAAGAGCTAGGGGAACTCATTAACATAACTCATTAGCATATGCCACACCCCCTGACATCACCGGAAGTGTGTCATAAGGCCACACACCCCGCCCCCAATGGTCCTCGCCGCCGCCGCCGGCCTTGCAGCTCCACTGCCGAGCCCCATGAGGGGCCCGGCGGTGGACCTG